ATTAAGTTTGTAATTCCTTGATCTTTTGAAGATATAGCTGAACAATTAACATAGTTCAATAGATTTTTAAAGATTTCTATAATTTTGAAATAAATGAATTGTATGCTTATTTTGCATATTTCCTACTGAATGATTGGTAATCAAAAGTGGCCCCCAATACAAAAGCCAAAATAATCATATTCATAGTAATTGGTCATATGTTACTTGCAAATGCAGGTAGGTGTATGAGAAGTATTTGTTACAAAATAAATGCATAGCTTACAACATGTTCAGCTTATTTATCTTTCCTCAGATGTGAATCCTGCCATGGTCAAGCTGAGAGACTTCTTGATTCTGCCAAGGAAATGGAAGACTCGATTGCTGTGAACTTGAGGTCTCCATAATTCTTCTTATCTTACAATTTAGCATTGCCAAGTAGCATTAACTACTCCCTATTTTACTGTCTTTGTTGAATCAACCAATTGCAGTGCTCTTCCATAATGTTTATTAGTTTATGATCTATGCTAAAGTTAAAAGAATAAACTAATCAAGGACAACCCACCTCAATCCACAATCATAACAGCTTCAATGACCAGTTACAGTCTTGTTTGTCATTGTCGATTCTTTTCTTATTTGCACCTCAGATATGGGCATAGCTTCCAACATCAGTTTGTCCTTTGCCTTTGCCAGGCTTTTCAAAGATTAGGTTAATTGTTTAGGTCTCATTTGACTCACCTTTACTAAAGCTTGCCCTGCATATGGTTCATATGAATGCAGCCACATTGTGAAAAAAAATCTTCATCTACTTGTCTTTGAGTTGTGCTCTATATATAGCTAAGTCCACACTGATATAAAAGGCTTAAACAATAACTCTGGTGATGCTAAGCTTTAAAAGGTGACATAAATCAATTAGACATCACTGATGGATAAATTCATCGTAAAAATTGAAATGAATATTAAAATTAGGTGTATCAACATCAAGATAGCTTTCTAGTTACCAATTTTAGTTGACTACTGAACCAAGTTTGCTTCCAGTTGCCCTGATCCAAAGGCTCTATCCACACAATGACCTATTAAATTAACGGGGAAGCAAACTAAGTTTCCTTCTTCCCAATTTAGAATGACTTTTAGAACATGTTATATGCCTGCTAGCCACCCATCATAGTTTTCTTTTGCAGGAATAGATGTCCCAGTTGTTGCATCATAGGCTGTTTCTATACAGGAATGGATGACCCAGTTGTTCGATAGCTGGCCATACACTCCGATCAGTGCTTAAATTCATATTCAATATTCAATTATATATTTTGAATTTTTACCTTCTTGATGATAAAATATAAAAAAATATTCAAATTCTGAAAATGATTAGAGAATTTCAAGGAATACTCAAGAAAATGATTCCTTCCAATTAGATCATCTGTTTTTTTTTTCCCCTTAATGTCCATCCACAATTTTATGTATATATCTGGGGTCCTAAAAAATCAGAAACTAATAAATGACCCCTTGAAAGCATATCTGGTGCATGATGCTCTTAGATCTTATAATTTTGTGTTAATTAGTTAGTCCAATGGGTGGTTCACTTATATAATTTTTTAACCAACCTTCCTCACAAATCATTGTAATGGATCCTAAAGATGATAACAACCTAAATTTATTAGTTTACCTAGCCTTTTCTTTATAATATCTTATGCTGAATGTTCTTGTTTTAATACTTAATGTCTTTAAGAAGGTCAAATTTTATTGACTTATCATAAAGTGAATTCATAGCTCTCGCCGACTCGAAGTAAGCAGAGTGGAGCTGCTTCTCCAGGTCGGGACATTCTGTGTTGCAGTGGGTGCTTTAGTAGCAGGTATGACTTTTCTGGCATTTGTAACGTTGGTTACTCTTTGGTACATTATCAAAATTGTATCTTATGAGATCTCAATGCATTCATCATTTTTTGTATTGCAAAACACATGATTCAACAACCAAGAAGTTCATGGTCTTCTTCAAGTCTTGAAGAGTATCATTCTCCAAATCATATAACATTTTGAGTTTTGTCTCTCTCTCTCTCTCT